AGAAATATTCAAATTCGTTCAGTGTTTATCAATGAATAATTTTTAGGAAGTTTATATGAGGAATAGAGAAGTAGCTTCAAAAACAGACTGGCGTGTGCTCTTCCTACATGTATAAACACACACACACACACACACACACACACACACACACACACGCACGCACGTACCATCTGCCATCCTCACAAGCCACTGGCAGAGGCCGTGGCCATGAGACCACATCCTTTCTGCCCAAGACATTCCCATAACAGCACCAGGAACGTCCTTTGCGTCGCGGGCCTCACTCCTGTCCCTTGGTCCTCGTCCGTAGCTGAGTCTCAAGGCCGTGGTGTCGGCTCGCCGCCCCAGAGCCCGTGGTGAGATGGCCTGATGACCTGAGAACCCCCACTTCTTTGGAGAAGGTGATATTTCCAGCACCCTGAAGGAGTCCCACCTGAGTCCCATGTTCTCCAGCGCCTCCCGCCATTCCCCTGCTTGCCTGGACCCCGCACAGCACGAACACCCGCTTCCTGCTCCATACAGGCGCCCTGGGTGGGCGGGGAGGTGGGGGTGTCAGAGGTGCAGCTGCCCTTCGCTCTAGGTGACGGAAATGGCAAGAGCTACCTGCGAACTGACCCCACGGTGGCAAAATCCCAGTTACATTTTAGACAACCGCACTGGTGAAAAGATCCCCCCCCACCTCCGGTAAAGGGCTCTGCCCCGCCGTCGCCTTCCTGCCGAGGGACTCACATGCTTCGCCTCTGGCTTTGCCTAAAACGAAGAAAAACCCCCTTGCTTTGCACCTCCTGCCTCCCTCTAGACCGTTTTCCAAATGCAGCCAGAGCGATCTCTTCGAAAGGTGAATCAAATCGCACAGCACTACTGCCAAAAACCGGCCGTCGCCAGCCCATCCTCTGACCTCATTGCCTCTGCCGCCTGGCATTCCCACCCCCGAAACACCCGTCCCTCGGATCTCCCCGAAACCACCTCCTCGGGGCTGCCTTTCTGTGCACTTGGTCTGAGGGGGGCCAGCGCCACCCCAGCCGGCCACACTCTAGCTCCGTCCGAACCCTGTGTGATCTCCCGCCCGGCTTGTACCACCATCTGAAATATGCTTTGTCATTCCCTTACGCGCCAATGTCTAACGCTACCAAAAAGTACCCCACGAGAGCAAGGATTTCACTCGACCTGTTCACCGGTCTGTTCCCAGAGTCCCGGGACAGTGCTGGCCACCGAGAAGGCAACCCCTAAATCCCTGCGGGTGAGAGGGACGGAGGTTGGGCAGGGTGGAGAGGAGGGTCACAGGGATGGAGGGGGAAGGGGGGAGGGGGGAGAGCGAAGGGCAGGGAGGGATGGGAGGAGAGCGGAATGGAGGGGGCAGGGAGGGAGGGAGGTATCCGTTCATGGAATCACGTGACTGCTGGGAGCCCTTGGTGTTTTCCAGATACAACCAGGGGCTTTAGAACAGGACACTAGTTTCAGCAGGGGACGAGGGAGCAGAGCGAGCGTATGTGCAAAGCGCACATTTCGGAACTATGAACAAGTGCCTGACGTGGGGTGGGCGGGGGGACATCAGGAGAGGGACGAGCCAGGATGCGTTTTGCCCTGGAATACCACTTATTTCGCTCGTTCAGAAAGAGGCTTTTTGAAAATATCTCAAGCCCTTGGAGCAGGAAAGTAGAAGTTGCACTGTGGAGTTCCAGGAAAAAACCGAGGCCCAGACACACAGACAGTGTCTGTGTGCAGCAACGCGGTCTGCGAAAAGCAGAGAGAGAGGGAGGAAACCAGAAGGGACAGGATGCGGCCAGGTGGGACGCCCCGGGTCAGAGGGTCAGGGAAAGATGACCGAACGCAGGGGGCTTCCCGGGGTCGCAGTGGAGCGGCGTGGTCATCTTCTAAGATGGTCTGTTTGCATTTGGCGACCCCTTCCTCTTCCATCTGTGGAACCTTCCCCGACCCTCGAAACACAATCCCAGCTCACGGGATGTTTCCAGGGAAAGTCGACTTTGCCAAAATCACAAGGCAAATAAACGGTAGGTAAGAAGTCCCCTCACCCTGGAAGCGTGTTCTGCTGGAGGTCGTGCGGCTGGAAACGTACTTCCTGGGGGAGACCCCCTTTGAGTGATCCGTGAAAGAGACAGAAAGGATCTTAAAAACCTAGGATGTCTCCCAACCAGACTAGAAAAATGACCCACGGATTTTCAGTTTACCGGTCAGCAATAAGTACAAAACGAGAAACTGAGGAGTCCATACCCCCACCAACAAAGCCAACCATGGAATCTCAGAATGTTCCACGGGCGCCGGAAATTCCAGCAAGCAGGGGACAAAACTGTGCCCCCTCTTCCTGGTGGCTACAGGGTGGTGCAGATTGGGGCTTCCCGCTGGGCACAACCGGCCACACGGGAACCTCTCCATCGGAGGGTCCTGGGTTGCACAGAGCCTTGGGGACAATGCCAGCCAAGAGCTGAACTAGGAGCCACACTGCTGACTTTTGGGGGCCACACAGGTAGAAGTTATTCTACTGCCCTGTTGTGCTGTGACCCCAGGAATGTGAAGCCCAAGAATCGAGAAGCTTGGAGATGGCATACGGAATATTTTGAGCAGTACTGGGCTTCGGACTCTGACATTCATGTTTTTTCTCCCAAATGTTGGGGGAGAGGGGTTCCAGCTCTGCCATGTCGCACAACCCCAAGGCTTCATCCACATGGGGCGCAATACGAGATGAACAGCACTCCCTCGCGTTGGGCGTTCTCACAGATCGAGTCATTCTGGAAAGTGCCACGTCTCCTCATTCTTGAGATTTATAACATCCGCTAGTGCAGTAAAGGCTCTGAGAAGTCCCGCAGGATACAGGTTTTTAAAAACTTGATTGAACCAAGCTCTTTCAGCCCTTTAAAGCCATGGAACCCTCACTTCAGAGAATACCTCCTACAATCCCACGGAACTGGGCTTGTCCAGAATGTTCTTAAGAAAAGGCTCCAAAAGAAGAAGCAACTTCACTGCACTCAGTCCTCCAAAACATCCCTAAGGAGCCGACTCATGTCACTGATCCGCCAGGACCTCCCTCTCCCGCGACTTTGAACCTGCCTGTGTTCAGAAAGACACTTAGGAAGCTCGAGAGGGTCTCCCCTCTCAGCCGCTTTCTCCATAACATAGGCTTCTGTGGAAATAGGAAGCGTCTCTGCGGTCTGGGGCTACGACGCACACGCGAAGGTGACCCCTGCCACCTCCGGCCCAGCTGGATATCGGTGGGTCACAGAGAACCAGGGCGCCGACTAACCCACTAACTCCCTGCCGAGGTGCTCACCATTCGTCTTCGACATAAGCTGGTGGACAGGATGGGAGGGGCTGGCTCATCTCTCGTTCTGGGAACTAAACCGACACCCGACACAGAGCCTGCTGGGGAAAGTTACCTGTCTCTGTTCGGGCACTCATTTATTTATAAAGCACCTCAGCCCTGATATACACACTCCCGCCCCGAAGTGGGCACGTGGAGAGAGGTCCAGTTACAGCCACGTTTCATTTATTTGCTCGCTATAGGCATTGTGCGTCTGTTGAACGATAATCTCCTTTCAAATGGGTACCAAAAGTTTACCTCAACCATTTTGGGTGTAAATTGTTAAAAAAAAAAAAAAAGGGATTGCACATGGATCTCCCTTTTAAAACCAAGTCCAGTGACCCTAACTCAACCTATGTTTGATTATTCAGGATTAGACAGATCAATTAGTCATGAGCAAAACCTCGAAGTCGACCTCCTGGGCACAAGGACAGTTTGGCTTGTGCTAAAGTGGCCCTAGAGATCTCTGCTTGACACATTTGAGAGAAGTTTTTAATAGTTTGACTGAACATGGAAACAATTAGAAGTCACAGTACCCCCAGATAACCCAGATCATCAAAACTCTGCATAAAATAAAAGTCAACAGTCTCTGAGGAAGCACCGAAGGATTCCTGCCACTCGAGTGTCTGATACGGAGTTCCCGATCTTTATGACAACTCACGGCCATTTTGTAGCTTTTTGTCATATTTCCTACTCCTTGGCTGGGTTCCTGAGAGTAAGTTTTCCTAAATAACCGAGGTTCCAGGGTATATCAGACGCCACTGCCTCTACGGTGTGAGGCTGGAGCTGCGGATAGCGGCCAGTGGTATAGGTTCCCCTTCTCCCGTAAGAAGCCCAAACCACCTGCTTTTCCCCCTGGAGCCCCAGGGGAAGGCTGCTCTGCCTGCCCCGCCCTCTCAGTCCTTCGGCCGCACCTGGCTGATCCCAGGGGAGTCCTGCCAACACGCCCGGAATCACGGACCAATGTCACACACATAGCCACTCCAACAAGACGACCCCCGGCTGGGCCCCGCGCCAACACACCCGGGCACCTACACACGCTCACAAAGCCTCCTCTGCTCCTTTCCTTGGCCGAACCACCCCAGCGGCCAGGCTCGCCACAGCGGAAGCCCCCCGCTTCCCTCCCATCAATGTGCTCCTCTGTTCCGCTGGCACATGGCAGAGAGATGCCCGCAGTCTGCCCGCAAGCCCCTCATTCATGCCGCCTTCTCACAGAGCCACTTTTCAATGAGCTTTCTCCTTCTCTTTCCCCGCCCCGCCCCCAAGACACAAAAGAGAGTTATAACATGGGGGTTTTTTTCTCTACAGGAATAAAAAGTTAGCTTTCCTTCCTTTCTGTTTTCCTAGGCTTGGCCTAAACTTGGCAAATGGAAAGTGAGTGGAAGCAGTTAAACTGACCTAGTTTGTGACCCAGGGGACAGTCCTGCGGCCAGAACTGCTCTCATTTGCTCTTGGTTGTAGGGGGTGGGGGTATCTAAAAACTCTTACCATCCACCCGTCTGCTGGGAAATGTTTCATTTACAGACCTGGGGGAGACCTTAAGTGTTATCTTATTGAACCCCTTCAATTGAAAAGGGGACACTGAGGCCCAAAGAGGTGAAGGAGGACACCCAGGCCATACAGAACACTTGTCGGGTGATGATCTGGGCACTGTCTCTATGGGCAATAAGAAAAACGAGCATCTTACCGTCATCCAGATAGGTCTGATCCAAGTTCTGCTCCTGTTTGATTGTCACTCCTGTGGGTAATACTTCCTTTTGGTCACTGACCGGGGGTCCATTTTTGGCGGCTCTTTGGCTTGTGGCATTCTGCTGCTGAATGACCGTGGGGTAGGACCCCGGGCTCAGCCTCTGACCTTGACTGACAGGGGGCGGGCCGGGCCTGGTGGTGCCGGGTGGGAAATTCTCGCAGTACATGATGTGCTGAATCTCCTGGTGACTCCCGCAGCGCAGCTGCTGGTTGGTAGGCGAGTAGTGGATCACCGGCGAGGCCTGCTGGTTGGCCGGGGAAGAGTGGAGCAGAGCCGAGCTCTGGCCCTGGGAGCCGGTATGCATCAGCACGGAGCAGTGCGCATCCGTGAGGGACAGCGGGGCGGCCATGAGGGCCGGCTGCTGGTAGCCCAGCAGGGTGGGGCTCAGGCTCTTGCTGCGCTGGTACAGGACAGCCGCCGGGTTCTGCTGCTGGTAGCGGGCGTCGGGGGACGAGAGCCCCGAGCGGAATTGCTGGCAGGGAGCCATGGTGGCCACGAGGCAGGAGGGGGACTCGGCCACTATTGGGTGCTGCGGGTAGTAAGGCTGGCTCCCCAGGCCCCCGTGGGCGGAGCTACAGATCAAGGTGGGGTCATATTCATCGCTGGGCTCCGTCTTGATGGCTGGGACTGCTAGAAGAGAAAAGCACACGGGGTGCACCCCGCTCATGAGCCACAGATGGGCACAGAGGGTCAGCAGACAGCTGCTGGTAGCCCGTGACCTTGGGAGAACATGGCCTTGGGAGCCCGACGGGGTGGGATCAAACAATGGGATTCTGTTATTCGTTAGCCTTGGGCAAGAGGCTCCCTGTGCCATTGTCTTAGGTCAGAAATCGAACCCTGGGCGATGACCTTGAACTACAGGTCTTTCCAGTGGTGGAAAGGTGGCTGGTAGGTCTGGCTCAGCCCTGGGAAGTCTGCGGCCTTATTCTCCAGGAGTGCTCAGCGCGTGATTGATTTAAAATTATGCCTCCCCTTCCTCCCCGGCCCCAGCAGCTCCCATCCTTCCCTGCTCATCATCCTTCATAACACTCATCACCATCCGAAAAGTCTGTATATTTTACGTGCTGATTGACCTGAGCACCCCACTAGAATGTCAGCTCCCCAAGGGGAGGATTTTTCTGTCTGTCTTGTTCAGTGCTGAGTCCCTAGCACCCAAAACAGTGCCCGAAACTTAACTGGCACTCAGATATTTTCTAGACGAGGAATGACCGAATGGTGACTGTCACCTCCTTAGTTCTGTAGTACTTTAAAGGAATGAAACCTACTGGGCTTGGGCCTCAGTTTCCCCATCTGTTACTTGGCTGTAACAAGCACACTTACCCCATGGGGCTGTTGGGAGGATTAAATGAGACGTGTGTGCAAAGTACCCAGCACAGTGACTAGCATACAGTAAGCGCTCAATGCTTGCTGTTGTTGCTGTTATTATCCTACGATCACTATTATTACTATTCGTGTTGTCATGGTTACCATCCCCCTCACCCCACCTAGGACAGTCACCGCAATGTTTCCTCCTCCAACATCAGCCCCAGGTGCTCAGGAATCAGCTTTTTTCTCACTGAGTAAATGAATCGGTGACAGGACAGGAATCCTGTTGGGTGCCGCCCCCCAAGTGTGGGGTGTGGGGGCAGCCAGGAGGTTCAGCACCTGCAGCAAAAACGCAGCTGTGGTACCAAGCGCAGAAATCATTTCTCAAGATGCCGTTCAAAGACCGTCATCTCAGTCACTGGCCTTACTGGGGGACCGGGTGCTTGCTCGGGCCGGGCTCAGCCAGCCACGGGCCAACCGGGTCCCAGGAGGCCTCGCTACTACAAATGAGAGGTGAGAGCAATGTCACAGTAAGTGAAACCCTCCCCATTAGAAAGGATCGTGGAGCTGCAGGGCCAGGCCCTCCCAGAGGTGGCCTCTGCAGTGTCAGGCCTCATAGCATGTCACATCAGTCCTGCAACGGCGAAATGCTCACAGAGGCCATGCAAACCTGTGGATACACTCCACTGGAGCTAAGCCCCCCAAGGCCAGGCTGCCAGGAATGTCCCCTCAAATTTCATGCTTCCAGTAGCCCAGAGGCTCCACGTGAAACTGTCACAGGACAGAAATTATACCCTGGGTGATATTCTCAAATGATAGGTTTCCAGTCCTGGAAAGGTGGCTGGTAGGCCTGTCTCCGCCTTGGGGACCTTGTAGCCTGTTTCTGCAGCCCCATCATAATCTGACACGTCAATAATATCACTAATATACTTATTATCTGAAACTCCTCTGTTAGGACATCAGCTCCATGAGGAGCTGTTTTATCTGTTTTGTTCACTACTGTGTCTCCAAGCCAAGAACAGAACCTGGCACTCAGATATCTTCAGGACAAATGAATGAATGAATGAAAAATAGCACTTGTCACCCTTGTTGGGATTGTAGCACTTTGTGAGAATGAGACCTCCTAGTCTGGTTATCCAGCCAAGAACTCCACTTGGCCACAGGGTGACTGCCCCCGATGGGGTCGACTAAAGGCTCCATAGGTTTTAGGGCACATTTGTCTCCACTCCTATCATGATCAAACCTAAGAGAGACAGGAGGCCGCAGCTTTGCAGTCTTCGGCTGAACAAGTCCACACGTGCCTCTCTCCTATCCCGCCCTCCCAAAGGAAAATATTAACAATAATAGCTAATATCATTGATATCAGTTTACCATCAGTTTACTGTGCTAAACGTTTTAGTGCATTTGACTTCTGCTCTTACAAGAAAGGTACCATTTGATAGATAAGGAAACTGAGGCTCAGAGAGGTCGAGTCAGCTGCCCAAGGCTGCCCAGCCGGTGGCAGACGTTGCGCGTCCTCGCCCGCGTGCCCATGCTGCCTCTCCCACCACAGGGGCCTCAGAGAGGACTCCTCACCTGGGTGGTAGGTAAAGTGCTGAGGCTGACTCCGTTTTCTCTTCCCGTTGATGACGTAGAAGTTCACTTTCACCGACGTGCGGATGTGCTTGTTCCGATACTCGGGGATCTCAACAAAAAGCATGTTCTGGAAGGAAGGAGTTGTCGTTAACTTCACTGCAATAACGTCCTAACAACGTAATAATGTCCTACCCAAGGCCCCGAGTGCGCTGAGCCAGCCCCTCTAAAACGAGGCATGACATGCTTCATATGATACAAAATTCTATTTGAGGGGAACTCGACTTTTAGCCGCAGCAAAGAAAGAATTGCAACTTACTCTGTCAAAGTCTATTAAGATGTCACCAGTACAAATCAGAGGGCCCGGTGCTTAATGAATATTTAGGTCATTCATCAATTCAATAGCTACTGAGTACCTGTTGGGTCCAAAGCCCTGGGACTTTGATGAGGGAACAGAAAGGAAAAGAAGGTGCGAGAGCAGTGGGGGGGTGGGGTGGGGGGGGACTGGGAGGGAAGCAGGGCAGGATGTTCCCCCGTGTCCAGGCGCTTACAGACTGGCTCTTGTCTTTATCCACCGTGGCCTCCATCTCCCAAATTTGCTGCCCATCTGGAAAAGTTTAAAAATGACAGATTTTGAAAGAACTATTCGAACCCACGACTTAAGACAAAAACCCACCAACTTATATTTATAGGGGTTTACGTACTGTATCATTTCGGTAAGGTGTATATGTGTGTTTTGTGTTACATACGTATACATGCCCATATATATGACATACATGTATATTTCTTCTCACAAAGAGAACACGTGTTGACCGCAGAAAACTTGGCAATGATAAAAAAAATAAGGAAAGAATTGCCCATCACCCCATCACCATTATTTTTTTCTCTATATTTGAATGTCTGTACATCATTCTTTCTTGAAAAATAAAAGTAGTATTGTTATACATTATACGCTCTATTCAATCAAAGACTTTCCAAAATGTCCTGCATACACCAAGACTGTCACAGGGGCCCAATTACAGATGGCTGGGCTGTCCCAGACAGGCTTTCTTGATGGTCTGAGAACACAGATGGCTCACATAGCCTGTCCTGAGAGTCTGACATGACATCCCAGCTTGTGAGTCACTGGCAAGGGTGGAAACGCAGGAGCCCGCCCTCCACCTTCAGTAAACAGCCAGCCTGGATCTCCCATGGCTCATGGCAGCAATCCTTGAGAGATCTGCTTGGTGGTAAAACCCCCTGCCCTGGAGCAGAGCACCAGTTCCCCAGCTGGGGACCAACAAGTTGGGCCAAACAAAACTCCACATTTGCGAATAATAGATTTCTTTTGGTGACCACCTACATTGGCCACTGAGCAGTTTTCAGCTCAAACAAATAATTTCCACAAGTGTTTCCAGGGTGTTTTGTGGAACAGTGGCTCTGAAGATTATTAAATGGGTTTACGAGAACGGGAAACAAATCCTACAAGCTAATAAGCGTTTGGAAAATGCTGAGTCAAAGTCGGATGGGTTTCTTTACCGCAGGACTTCTCAGAGCCTTTAATCTGCTCACATGCAGCGTAACTAACTCTTCAAGGTGGGCTAGGGTATGAACCATGTCCCAACATTTGGCCAAAAAAACTCTCCCCTCCTTTAAAGATATTATAAGTTTCAGGTGTACAACATCATAATGTGACATATTTGTACACCACAAAGGGATTACCCCCCCAAATCTAGTTACTATCCAGCACTATACAATTGACCCTCTCCCCCGCTTTTGTCCACCTCCTAACCCCCTTCCCCTTCCTAACCACTCATCTGTTCTCTGCATCTATGAGTCGTTCTTTGTTTTGCTTATTCATTTGGGGTTTTTTGTTTAGTTTAGTTTTGTTTTGTTTTAGATTCCACATATGAGTGAAATTATACAGTATTTACCTTTCCCCTTCTGACTTATTCCACTTAGCATTATACTCTCGAGGTCCATCCCGTTAGAAAGCCCAGTTATAACAACGCACAGCTATTAGCATCTTCTATGATAGGTTAGTTTCGAACCCATAGAATCTTGGCTCTTCAGGTCCACCCCAAGAAATCTGGTTTCCATGTGTTATTCGAACTTACTAGTATAAAACATATTTCCCAAAGTAATAATAAAAAGTCCTGTGATAGCTACCAAAGCTGATGCAATCTAGCTGTTCTTAACAGCGAACAAGAGTGAGTCAGCTCGAGCCTCTGTCATGGCAGTCTGCAAGTCGTGGCCTTACAGTTCTATTAGGTGCAATTCCTGAAATGACTAAGGAAGCCATGGGTCTGTGTCAAAAGGGAGGAGACAACGGAGGTTATTGCACTGACTTTCACTAGGGTGTGAGATCCCTGTGGAAGGGACTGAGTTATAGTCATCGCCATTCCCCCAACAAAGCGTAGGTGCCTAGTAAATGTCTCATGTCTGAGCAAACAAAAGTGCCAGCGGCTTCAAAGGCTGCTGATGGGGCCAAGAAAAAGCCAGAAGCTAACTTCAGCCACTGCTCAGGAGGAAGCAAGAAAAAATAGATGAATGGGCCTCACAGAATTCGGAGTTAAGTCATCAAGATGGTACTTTCCATGTGCAAAGGCCTGGACAGAGCTAGTTGGAGAAAATCTTTTTTTTTTTTTTTAAAGACAGACAGGTCAGAGTTATCCACAGAGACACGTGTCTCCTTCTCAGGTGGCAGTAAGAGCTGGCCACAAGTCCTCATCAAAAAGTGCATTCCTCATTCGCCACTCACAGGGTCAGCTCTGTGTCAAAAGATCAGGTAAGAAATTAATGGAGAAAATGAACAGTGATGTGTACTTATCCAACATGTTATCTCTTCCCTAACCTCTCGTTGGCCGAACTGAATTCTGCCACCAATGGTGCCATAGTTCTTTCAGTCTGGCTCATTATCCTGCATGAGTTTGACCTGCTTTGAAAAGGAAGGACCATGTCAGAAGCCTCAACATTGGGAGGAAAGGGAGAAGGACCCAGAAGAGTGGCTGGAAAGCACGAAGCTGCGTCCATAAAGCTCCCATCCCTAGCTCTCTGCCTTCACTCATGCCAGTAACGGGAGACGAAGCACACAGAACACGAAATGGCAGTGTGATGAAAAGGGGGTCACCACGAGCAGAGTTCTCAGGGTCTCGTCTCCTGGTCTAGGGACTCACGTGAAACGGGAAGAGGCCTTTCTCCTCATATTCCACCCTTTTCTCCATCTGTGTGGGCGTCCGGAAGTAAAAGGCCACCCGGGGACCATCATACAATCCTAGTGCACAGGTGCTTGAAATTAGCCAGGCCGGCAACAGCAGATGGGGAAACTGAGGCCCAGAGAAGAAAGGAGGATCGCCCAAAGTCATGCAGTGACAGTTATTGAATCACAGTCCTTAAGCAACAACTGACACTGTCCAATAACAATGTTTTCGAGGAGAGAAGGTCAGAGTTAAGATCACCAGCTCTTTGGAAGGCTGGAGTCAGGGCCTGCATGAGTAGGCTCTTTCTCAGGTCACATCCAGCCCACAGGTGTATGTACGTCTTGCAAGCCCTTCCCCGTTTCCCCTGTGCCTCCAGGCATTATCCAAGTTCTGACAGCGGCCCTGAAGACCCTGTATGACCCGATTCCTACCTCTGTCCAGCCTCTCCAAACATCACCCCTCCCAGTAAAAATAACAGCCATCGCCTATGAGCACTCACTGCATGTGAAGCATCACTCAAAGCATCTCTCAGGTATGAACTTGTCTGATCCACACAATGACCCTAGGCCGAAGGTCTGATCGCCACCCCCATTTGACAGGTGAGGACACTCAGGCACAGAGAGGGGCGGGCACTGGCCCAAGGACACACAGCTAGCGGGTGGAGAAGCCAGATCCAAGCCCAGGCAGCCAGCGCTAGAGCCAGCCTTCCTCATCTCGCCCATATTATGCAGCTTCCGGTTCCTGCGCCCGTGCGGCAACGCTGCCACGTTAATGAAGGGTGGTCGACAGGCATGGCAGGTCACTTGTCCCTCAAGTCTCAGCTGTGGTCTCCTGCTTACCCCTCCTGTAGCACTCTGGGTACCTCCATCCCCTTTCTCACCGTCTCCCCATTGTCTAGGACATCCTCAGTGCTCAGCCATTTGTCAACACAATCAGAATTAAATCACTGCAATAAGTTATAGTCACAATCCAAGTGGGAGCTGGGGCAGGAGGGTGCTTCTTCAAAGAAAACAGAGGTCCATTGGGTGGGAATGACCATGGTGTCCATCGATGGATGAATGGACAAACCAAATGTGGTCTATACATACAATGGTGTGTTATTCGGCCTTAAAAGGGAAGGAAATTCTGACACATGTTACAACATGGATAGACCTTAAAGGCATTATGCTGAATGAAATAAGCCAGACACAAAAGGACAAATAGCGTATGATCCCACTTATATGAGGTACACAGTATAGACAAATTCATAGAGACAGAGAGTGGAATACAGGTTGGAAGAACTCGAGGGAGGCAGGAAGAGGGGGTTATTGTGAAAATATTCTGAAAATAATGGCGATGATTACACAACACTGTGAATGTATTTTATGCCACCGAATTATATACATGCCAATGGTCAGAACAATCGATATTATGTGTATTTTACCACAGTTTTTAATTAAAAAGCCAACTGGCCTCACCCCAGAGACCTGGCTTGCTTTGTGGCCTGTAGATCGGCACAGAAGTTTTGTAATTAGCTGCTGCCATTTCAAAATGAGATTTCACCTAAAAATATACATTTTGCTCTTGAAGAAAAACAAATTCAGATGATCTGACTGTTCTGGGCAGCCACACAGAAATCTGAGCATGGACAGCGCCATGCTCCCCATTTCACCACGGCACCCCCACCCTGGCCCTCACATCTCTCATTTACTTTCCGTGCCCTGCCTCAGTGGGCCTTCAAAGAGACGGGTGTCACTTCTCATAACGCTCCAAGGAGAACTGGTCAGGTGTCTGCAGAATGCCCCTGGACCGGGATGTGCCTGATGCTTTTCTCACAATGGCAGGACAGCCAACCCAGTGTTACCGGGTCAGTGTCCCACCCTGCGGCACACTCCCTCCCAAACCAGGCCATAGGCCCTTTGCTCCCCGGACGTGGCCTTCCCTTTTCTTCAGAGTCAGAGCCACATACCCAAGAGGCCTCGAAGAGGTGCCCTGAGCCACCAAGCAGCCCAGTCTCCTTAGAGGGCCTGGATGTGTCCACAGGGGCCTCCCAGCATGCGCAGCTGAGGGACATCCCTGCACCCCTACACCACCACTCACTTAAAAACCCTCCCTCCCTCAGCCCCTCTCCTCTGGGCTCCAGGCAGAGCGAACGGGACCTGCCAGGCAGCACTTCCCGGGGACGCCCTCTGCAGTAAGGCGCTGGCACCACATCCCGCAGCCCGGCTCCAGGCTCCGGGTCAGGTCAGAAGCTGTTGGGGTTAGAAGGAGACGCCCGCTTCCTCCGGGTTCTCTGGCCCACGTGCTGTCACCCCAAGCCTTCTCAGGCATGTTCTGCGGCCAGAACTGACTTCCCCTCTTAATCACCAAAACACTCAACAGTTTATTCTTGTGTACCCCAAATTCTGGCACAGACAGGTCTGGCTTCAAATCCCTGTTTTGCCCCCCA